ATTACTGGGAAGAGAAGCATATTGGGACAATGGCATCAGGCCACCCTTAGAGTTGTCAAAACTGTGCGTGTGTCTGTGTCTGTGTGTGTGCGCGTGAGAGAGAGAGAGAGAGGGAGGGAGGGAGAGGGAAGGAGGGAGAGGGAGGGGGAGGGGGAAGGGGAGGGAGAGAAAGATTTGAAGGGCCTAGGTGCCCAAACACCACCAGTCGAGATCCACTCCTTTGTCTCTGTCTGCTGAATGAAAGCATAGCGCTAAAGAATGGGACACAAAATGGGTGAGACTTACTGGAGAAAGTAAGGATAAAGGTCTGGAATCAGGGAGGGCAGGCCTGATGGGTCATTTTGGGGTACCTCCCTCACGCGTGTCCTGGAAGGCAGCACAAGAGATGCAGCATGGTGTGATGGGAAGAGGATTCTAGAGCTGTGGGTTTTAGCTCAGGGTGGTCTACTTTGAGTCTCCAGGTGAGTTACTTGCCCTCCCTTTCCTCCCTGTAAAAAGATAGAGGTCGGACAAGACGCTCACACCCTGCTCCAATCCCAGTAGCCATACAAAAGGCCCCCTTTACCTTTTGTTAGTTACCGAGACACCAAAGAAAGAGGCTCCCTCTTTTTGTGCTTCCTCACTCCAGCTGGGACAGAATCGTGAGGGTTGCAGAGGACACTGCTGGGATGAGTCCCGGAGACCCCCTCCACGGGGGTCCCATGCCCATGATCAGTACCGCTCAGAGGTAGCCTGTCTGCTGACAGCTGTGTCTCCCACCAGCACAGTTAACTTGCCTCTGTTCCTGGGAAGTGACAGCAACTTGAAGCAAAACAATTAGGATGAAAAAGAGGCCCAGCTGCTTGGGGCCAAAGGAAAATAAACAGACCGGCCCTGCGTGTATTCCACCGCCAAGAGGAGCAATTCTTCACAGGATGATTAGCACTTCATTCCAGTCTCCTCCCCTCCACTGAAGGCAGAGAAGTGCCCCATGAGCTGCTGCTCTTCTCAGATCCCACTCTTCCCAGGGCGTATGCTGGACCCCACACCTCACCATCTCCTCATGCTAGTCTCCCCTAGTCACCTGCCTAGCCCCACCTCCACCCCCTGCCAGAAATGATACACCTCTCCTTGAAATCCAACAGCTTCTCTCTATAGTTTTTCCTTTGATGGATTGATCAATTAATTCATTTGTTCTTTCGACATCCACTGAACACCACTCATTCATTCATTTATTAAATATTTCTTAAGCCCCTACTATTGTCTAGTCACTGTTCTGGGTCCTGGTGATACAGCAGTGAACAAACAAACAAAAATCTCTGCCCGCACAGAGCTCTACAGGAGGACACAAGACACTAAACAAGTAAACATGCAGCATGGTAGATGATGCTAGATGCTATGGAGGACAATAAAACAGGAAAAGGGAGTAGAGAATGCAGAGAAGAGGGAGGGAGGTTTTAAGTAGGGTGCTCAGGAAAGGCCTCAGAATGCAAGTGACATCTGAGCAAAGGCCTGTAGGAGGTGGGGAGTGAGCCAGGTGGCTGAGTGAGGGGGTGTGCCCAGGAGAGGGACACAGTGCAAAGGCCCTCAGGCAAGAGCGTGCCCAGTGTCTTTGAAGAACAGCAATGAGGCCGGGGGAGAGTGGTGAGAGATGAAGTCAGGGAGGAAATTGGGCAGGGGATCCTGAAAGGACTTTGGCTTTCACTGGAGTGAGATGAGGAGCGACCCAAGGGTCTGAGCAGAGATGTGACAAGGTCTGGCTGGCATCTCATTAGGATGGCTCTGGCCACCACGTGAGCAGACAGAAGGGCAGGCCCTGGGTGGAGTGTGGGAAGGTCTGGCTTCTCTCCTTCCACCTCTGTCAGGGAGACTACATAACCAAAACAGGATAACCTCCAAGGAGAGGCAAGTTTGGGGTGCAGGGCAACCAGAGTCAGCATCAAGGAGCAAGGTCATGGAAGACTGGAGAGAGCTCAAGATGGGCTGCAGGGCTGTTGTGCAGGTTCAGGAAAATGCTCCTTGCCATGTTAAGCCGTGTGTGTGTGTGTGTGTGTGTGTGTGTGTGTCTCACGACAGACATCTCAGAGTGGGCCTCTGGGCTGGGATAGAGAGATTTTAAACCCAGCCTTCTGGGCTTAGTAATCCCTAAGTATCTCTGTAATTCACCCACCTGCACCTGGTTTGTGTCCCCAAACACCTTCCCGCAGTGGTTAAGCCTAGAGCCAGGGTATGAGCGGACGAGAATCCCAAGTCCTGGTTCCAAGTCCTTGCTCCTCCACTTGACTGGCTATGTGACTTTGGGTGACTCATTTCAGCTCTCTGCTGGTTTCCTCGCCTGCAAACCAAGCATGGTGACCATCCTTGCCAAGGGTGGTGGGCTGTGGGAGGAACAAAGCCTGACCTGTGAGGCCCGAGGATAAGGTGGACTGGATTACGAAAACCTCTCCCCCACACACACCCCCAGGGCCCTAACTGGTCCTTAACACCATGGTGAAACACACCATTAGTCTCCCAGCTAGATGCTAAGGCAAGAGAACCCAGGACAGCTAATTTTCCTATCACAGGAGGAGGAGGGAAAGGGCTGGGTCCAGGGGAGCAGATATACCCCAAGAAGAGGAGGTGCAGAGAGAGGGATAACAGGGAGGGGAGTGTTAAGGACACTGGCAGAAACACTCTGTCCATCTCAGAATGTCAGCCAAGCAGGAGGCAGCAACAGGAAACAGGCATGTGGCCCTGGGTTCAAAGCCGGGCTCTGCTACTTCCTAGTTGTGCCTCTTCCAGGCTTGTGACCTTTGGGTGTTTGGGTTTGTTTTGTTTCTTTATCTTTAAGACGGGAGTTGGGGTGTTGCCGAGCTGCCTACCACTTAAAATTCTTACAAAGCTTAAATAAGTCAACCGTGGGAAAGATCTCTGCGAACACTGTTATCATTTCGTGCAAAAGACATCTTAGAAAGGGCTTCTCTGGATCAAGAAATGACGAAACCACGCAGCCAGCTGCAAAGGCGACAAACACAAAGCTCTGTGGGTTGAGAGAGCTGACGAGCTGATGGATCTGAGACTGCAAGTCTCAGGGTAGCCGGCACTGGTCAGGAGTAAGGAGAGTGCTCCGCACTGTTAAGAAAAATTATCCATAACTTGGAAATAGGCAAAAGGAGGACTGCATATCCTTTCAACGTCATTCCGGGGCAGGGCTGAACAGCTCAGAGTTGTTTAATTCTCTGGGGAATGTACCTTTGTTTTACAACTTACTGTTGATTAAGGTCTTGACTTTGTGAACCTACATGCTAACTTGTAGCTGCATGTGAAAGTATGTATGTGCACGCACATGAAGATGCAAAGGATTTTAGTCTGGTAGAGAACCACAAAAGTTATGGTGTTATTGCCCTGTGAGACATTAACCAGCTTTATCTCTACCTTAGCAAACTTATTTCAGTATGTCTTTTCTGACTACATATACAAATCTCCATCTCTCAAAAGCTCCTTAGAACCAGCTTTACCATTCTTCTGGTTCCTTTATTAACGAGTTAAATAAATCTCTGACGTGATAAAAATTATACTTTGATAGAAACTAAAAGTGAGAGAGTCTGCCATGCTTTGGCATAGGCCGGTGTGTTTGGGCCAATCACTTGGCCTCCAAGCCTCATACAGCTCATCTGCCACAGGGAGAAGGTACTCAACTTCCAGGACTGAGGTAGAACTGGAGGGGGAAGACAGACATGAAAGTACTTTGCACATCATTTGTAGGAGGCAAAAGTCAGGATTTATTATTGTGACTCATCAGATTAGGCTTCTCCAGAGCTAGAAGGTCCTGGGCTTCTGAGGACAACATTCTCTAGGGCTTGGGACATAGGCTAGGGGAAAAGGCAGCTAGGGGCAGCCCTGACACGAGGCTCCATGCCCAGGAGGTGCCATGCTCATGCTGCATTCTCTACTTGGGGGGAGGCCCGGGTTTCCCATGGGACTTGGGTCCTGGAGGATGGAGACCATTCAGGACCACTCAGAGAAGTCTGCCCAGGGGCATGGAGGCTGGAGAACCGGGGAGGGCATCTGACCAGAAACCAGGGTGGGGGTATTCTAAGGGAGAAACAAGAGTCCTCATCTAACACCAGGTCCCTAACTAGTGGTCTCTATAGCCTGGGTTTTCAGGACCTCATCATTTTATTGTGTAGGCAGGAAAGGGCCCCAGCTCAGTTGACAGCACAATAGGATCTCTGCCCTTGCTACCTGCATATGAGCATGGCTGCAGACACAGAGAGAAGGATGTCAGTCAGGGGTCCACTGAGCAATGCAGGCAGCCAAGGTCAGGAACACTAACCCTGCACAGAGGAGGTGGGCACAGAGCCAACAGAGAGAAAAGAAGCGGAAAGGCATTCCAGTGCCAGGGAATGGCAGGAGCAGAGGCTAGGAAGAGAGAATTAACCTGCAGAATGTGGGGAAGGGATACACCTGAGGAAGATGCGGCAGGTAGACCTGGCCAGCATTAGGCTCATACCTCGAGGGACCTGAAGTCATGGAAGTTAATAGTCCACTGCCAGTGGGGTGGTGGCAAAAAAGGGAGTGAGCAAGGGGCTCACAACTGGGTTCTCCCCTGCGGGTCCCATCCCATAAGGGGATGTGGGGAACTCTTTCATTGGTCTCACTTGAGCTTCAATTCAGTTAGTCTCTACAAGCTGGCCCAGCCTCACCCCTTCCCAAATGCTTCCATCTACAGCTGCTCTGCCTTAAAGGCTGGGCTCAGAGACACCCTTCCCATCTGCTCCAACTTCCCCCCCACCTCCTTCTCTTCTGAGCTCTCACTCTCTCTCCTGTCTGAACCTTCCCTTTCAGCAGCTAATTACTTGACTTGTCTTCTTCATACAGTTTGTATACTATCCTCCTTCTGGAGTTACATATTTTTCCTCTCCCTATTTTTCCTTTGCCCTGATTTCTTTACTTCTTTGTTTTATTATGCTGTGGGTTTTTCGCATGTTGCCTTCACCCCTCCGTGGATCAAGACAAGTGTGTTGTAAACCTTTTGTTGGCCTGGGCCAGGCTCTAACCTTTGTGGACCCCAGTCTGGCAACCACAGCCACATCAGGCCTAGCACTGAGCTGGGCACACAGTAGCTGCCTAATTCTTGCCTACTGGTTGGCAGTTTAACATCACCTAACCCACTCCTAGCCATGCTCAGTTACTGGCCCATTCACACACAAGCCTGGATTATTGAAATTCTATCCCTTCCTCTGACACTGTGACCCACCAGTTCTCAGCAGAGCCCAAGTAATTTGAGGGCTCAGACCCCAGCGTCCTCGTTGCTCCCTGAGCTTCTTGGACATGTCCATATTACCAGAAGTCACACGACCCGGAAGTTTCAACCAGGGAGAGAGACGTTCCCAGAAGCTCCCAAGGCCAGCCCCATAGACTCAGCCATAGCTCAGGGAAGACTCAGGGCGTCGCCTGCTACAGCCCAGCCCAGGGGTCACAGTTCTGGCGTCGTGGAGGCCACAGGCCCTGAGGCGCCAGGAGGCAGTCTCAGGAGAAAGGTCTGCAAGGACCCCGGCCGTGGGAAGCCGGCCTTCTCCCTGAGCAACCGCCAGGTGCCGCCCTCGATGGCATAGAGCAGCGTGAACACGCGGTTGACGGTATAGACGATGTCGCCGCGCACCACCGCCGTGAAGAGCGCTCCCTTGCTGTTGACGAACTGGCCCGGCAGCGCCGTCCACTGGCCCGTGGCCAGGTTGAGGCAGTCGATGGCACAGTGTAGGAAGTCATCGGAAGGTCCGTTGCGCACCACGTAGAGGCTGTCGCGGTGGGCCACCATGCAGTGGCCGTAGCTCTGCGGGCGCCGCAGCTCGGCCACCGGCAGCCACGTGTCAGCTCGCACTGTGTACTCCACCACGGCCGTCGTGTCGGCCGGGCGCCAGAGACACACGAAGAGGCGGCCGCGAGCCTGGGCGCAGGGCACGCCTGCAGCCGGCTGCGGCAGGTCGGCCACGAAGCTCCAGCACTCCGCAGCCGGGTCGTAGCGCTCCACGGAGCTCATGGGCGTCCTCTGGAACTCGCCGCCAATGGCGTAGAGGCGGCCGTCGAAGCCGACCAGCGCCATGTCGTAGCGCGGCTGGTGCGGGCTGGGGAACTCGCGCCACGTGCCGCCCTCGGGGTCGTAGCAGAAGCCCAGCTCCACGACCTCCTTGTTGGCGCCCCGCACGCCCCCCACGATGTACAGCCTGTTGCCCAGTGTGGCCACGCCTGCCAGCAGCGTGCTGGCCTCCAGGGGCAGCGTGGCCAGCGTGCGCCAAGCGTCCTCCTCCTCGTCTAGGTAGCACATCGTGCGCGACGCATCCTCCAGAAAGCCGGGCGCGGGCGTGTGCGCGCTCAGGGCCACGTAGCTGCTGGGTCGCAGCGCCGCCACGTATGCGCGGGCCTCGGGCAGCGCCAGATCGGCCGCCAGCTCGCGCGCGCCGTCGCGGATGAAGACCGCGGCGCTGTGGAACACGTCGCCCAGCCCGAAGGCGGCGGCCGCGTCGCACAGCAACGCGCAGTTGTCCGACGTGAGGCTGTGCTCCAAAAAGCGCGCCAGCGCTGGCGCCTGCAGGAAGGCAGCGCACTCCACGGCCTGTAGCAGCTCTTCTTCCGCCTCCAGCGCCGGCCGCTCGCCGCGCAGCACCTGCAGCGTGGTGCGGAAGCCGCCGGCGCTCAGCGCGCCCAGGCGGACCTCAGCCGCGCGCGCCTCGCGCATGCCGGAGCGGAAGAGGCCGCGGAAGAAGCCGCAGTGCTCCACCAGCAGGGCCTGGTCGGCTTGGAAGAGCTGGCTGTCCACCCACACCTGCACCGGGACCTCCGGGCCCCGCGGCATGGCGGGCCAGAGGGGCGGAGGCCAACGCTGGGGGCCTGGAATCAGCGGCCACCAACTCTGGGGCTCCCCCGTAGAGGAAAAAAATTCCCAGGGGATATAAATATCTCTGGCTAAAGATAGTACGGCTCATATGATGTGGTGGCCGGCAAGCTGGATGGCCACTGGCCCGGAGGGCATCCGGGGACCTGCGGGGTCACTCACTTACGTATGAGAAGTAGTAATAATAGTGACCATATACTGAGCACCAACTGCCTGCAGGGCACTCTGAGAGCTGCTTACAAAGATACCCCATTTAACCGGCACTAAAGCAGCTGTATGCCCTTGTGCAAGTACCCCAACTCTGACCCTGTTTCCTCAAAATAGGGCCAATAATAACACCTATTTCGTGGTATTGGGACAATAGCTGTAAAGTGTTAGGAATGAGGCTCAGAGAATTTACCTGAGTTGGCCAACGTCATTCAGCTGGGAAAAAGCCAGGACAGGATTAATACTTAGCCTACTCCATCGGTTGGTGGAGGGTGGGTGTACCTGGGCGCTGGAGGGAGAGGCAGAGGTAGAGCAAATAGAGTGGGCCAGGCTGGTGTCCGTAACAAGTTCTCACTTGGCCTGGATCTCTGCCCCGGACTCTCGGCTAGTCCAATCTTTTTGAGCCTCGATTTCCTTTTCTGTAAAAATGAGAGAGTAGCAGGTGAGCGTCCTGTTAATAAGCCCATGAGTGTGCTCCCTGACTTGGGATGTGAATGGAAAACTGATGGCTATTCCCCACTTCTGTCTCTACTCGTCCGTTGCTGTGTAGCTCCAAACCTTGAGAAAAGGAAAGTGGGGCTGCTGAGGGGACCCTATGTCTGTGGATGGGAAGGAGAAGAGCTTCTTGAAATAACAGTTAACACTTAAACTGAACTGTGTGTCAGGCACTTTTGTAAACCCTTTAACTCCTATAATCCTTGCAACAATCCTATGAGTAGATACGATTATTTTCTCTTCTTTATTATCCATTTATTGCTTACAGCAACACTATGAGTAAGGTATTATTAATTTCATAGACAAGGAGACTGAGGCATCAAGAGGTTTAGTCATGTGCCTGAGGTCACATGGCCAGAGAGTGGCAGAGCTAGGGCTTGCTTGCCACCCACCTGACTGTAGAGCGTGTCCCCCTAACCACTGTGCTCTGCTGCCTCTCTGTGCTACAAATGCTGAGCAGTCACCTCGTGCCAGGAGGTCACAGTTGGAAGGAACTTCAGGCTCATATGATTCAACCCGTTCATTTACAGTGGATGATCAAAAAGAGAATTGCACAGGGTCATGTAGCTTGGGGGGACAGCCCTAGGTTTCCTGCTGCCCACCCTAGGGACACTTTTCCCACTGCACAGAACTTTCCTAGGTGACCAGCTGAGACTCTGGGTTCCAAAATGTCAGATGGAATGGAGCTTAGTGATTATCTTCTCCTGCCACCTCATTCTATAGGTGGGGAAACTGAAGCCCAGACCGGTGTAGGATGGTACAGTAGTTCCCCCTTATCCATGGGGTTATCCATTCCAAGACTCCCACTGGATGCCTGAAACCACGGATTGTACTGAACCTTGTATGTACTGTGCTTTTTCCTATATATACATACCTAGGATAAAGTTTAATTTATAAATTAGGCACAGTAAGAGATTAACAACAATAGCTAATAATAAAATAGAACAATTATAACTATACTGTAATAAAAGTTACTGTAGATCTTAGTAACCTCAGCATACGATTTTTTTTAATTAATTCAAGATCTTTCCCCTTTTCACTTAAAGGAAGCACTTTGCAGCTTCTCTTTGGCAGATCCGAATTGCCAGCATCACTACTCTTGCGCTATGGGGCCATTATTAAGTAAAATAAGGGTAACTTAACACAAGCCCTGCGATACCACGACAGTCACTCTGATAACTGAGACGGCTACTAAGTGACTGACGGGTGGATACACTGGACAAAGAAAGGGATGATTCATGGATGGGACAGAGCAGGAGGGCGTGAGATTTCATCACGCTACTCAGGACAGCACGCAATTTAAAATTTATGAATTGTTTGTTGCTGGAATTTTCCATTTAATATTTTCAGGCTTTGGTTGACTGTGGGTATCTAAAACCAAGGAAACAGAAACCGTAGATAAGGGGGGACGACTGTATCTGCCATTCAGGAGATGTTCAACTGCAGGCCTTCTTCAGGAGGATGGAGTGACTCACAATGACAAAGCCGGAGTTGGGAGGGGGAATGGGAACTTCCCTCCCCACTAAGACACATGCATGCACAGATCCTCACGTATGAATCTGCAGACCCAACGTGAATGTGCCTCTCCTGGCAGGGAACTCCCACCCAGTTCACTCCATCAGAGCAGGGCAGGGATGTGGGGACCACTTGTGTGAGCCTGGGAAGCCAGAGGCCTGGAGGAGGCAGCCAGAAATAACCCAGACACTCTGCCCCAGGGACCAGACAGGAAGAGGAGGAGGAGATAGAGGGGGTGGGCAGGAGTCCCCACGAATACTATCTCAGGCCCTCTGCCAGCTTCTCTTCTTCCTTGAAGCCAGACATTGGCTGAAAGCATGACAATCCCCCTTTTGGAGGAAAGTGGGCTCTGCAGTGCCCAGTCCTGATTCTGTCCTTGCTGGTGGCCTCAGGGGTAGGGAGAGGGTGTCTGACTGTTCCCATTTCGCAGATGAGGAAAGGGAGGCCTAGAGATGGGATAGGCTTTTCCTTGGTTATGAACAAAGGAAATGGATTGAACCCTGTCCACTGACCCCAGGCTCCCCTGCCCCTCCTTGCCTGCACTAGCCTTGTCTTAGGGGAGGGAAACAGCTGCTTCCTGCCAGGCTCAAGCTAAAGGGCAGGGTTGGGGAGGGGGCTGACCCCCAGGGAGCCACAGTTCTCTCCCAGATGGCCTGTTCCAGGTACCTAGTAACTGGCAGACACAACAGATAGACCACTGCCTGGACCTCTCCTGCAAGCAGGAGTGGGAAGGAGAGCAAACCCCTCATAGCTGAAGCTTGCTCCCAGTCCCAACTTTTCACAAGTCCATCCCTGGCTTGAGTGGGTTGGGGCACTGGTGCACACACCCAGCTCCCACCTTCAGCAGCCAGGCAGTGGGCAGGGGGTCAACCAGGGTGGGGGGTTATAGTTCTGAGGCTGGGCTGAGGGTCAGCCCTTTGGCTCATTCCCCAAGGCCCCAGTGGGGTGTTGTCTGCAGCTGGTGAGAGTTTCCTCCACCCAGTCAGTGAGCATTCCTCTGGGACTTGGAGAGGACAAGGAGCTATCCTGGCTGTGGGCAGCCCACGGAGTTCCCAGGCCCTGCCCGACCCCACACCAACCTCCCTCTCCACTTTGCAGCTCCCACAGTGTGCAAGGTTGGGGGTGGGAGCAAGGAAAGGGGCTCTGTGTCAGATTCAGACCCTTTCTAGAGCACACACCCAGCCTTGTTCATCTCTCTATCCACAATGACTGGCACACAGTAAGGGGTCTGTTAAGTGGACTCCTGGGCCCTAACCTAAATAGGAGTCCCCAGTCTGATGGAGGAGACACAACCCCTGTCCCAGGAAAGCCTGCAGTCTGATAGAGGTAACATAGCCCTTGCCCTCGGAGGACCCCCACAGCCTGATAGGGGACCCCTGGCCTTTGCCCACCCATGGCAGTGTTTCTGCACACAGGGTAGTGAGGAGCTTGCCTGGACCTGAAGAAGAGCACTGGACTAGGAGTCAGGATTCCTGCTGGGCTCTGATACTGGTACTACCACTGACTTACCCAACCTTTCCAGGCCTCAGTTCTTCATCTGTAAAGTGGAGCATGGATCTGACTTATAAGGTTCTGTTCAGCTTTGACATCTGAATTTATCATGGAACAACCACAGAAGTGGTTGTCATATTTGGCTCCGAGAATGCAGTGACATGACAAAGGGTCCCGAAATGGCTCCTGGGGGGCGAGCAGCAAGGGTAGGACCTGGCATCCGGAAATCCTCACAGGCCCTACCTGTCTAGACCTGTGCATCCCCCCTCCTTCACTCCAGAGACATCTACTGAGCACCTGCTGCAAGCCCACTGCTAGGCCAGGTGCCACATCTTCTGCATTCTGTGTGCCTAAGTGCCCCTTATAAGAGCCTGAAGGTGGGGAGGGGGTAGTAAGGAGGGTTGGGCTACTTGCCCTGGCAGAATAACCTCTTTTGACCTGAAGGGTCCAAACTTCTGGTCACTAAACAGTTGTGGCTTCTTGGTAGGTGGGTGAGAAGTGTGAACTATTCATGTCCAGGGGGAGTAGAAGGAACTATCATTTACTTTTTTTTGGGCCACGGGCCAAGCTCTGGGTGAAACTCTTTCACGTTATCTCATCTAATCCTTAATATTATCCCTATTTTAAACATGAGGCCCAGAAGGGCAAAGTAGCTTATTCCAGGGTCTGACAGTAAGTGACTGATTCCAAAGGCCTTTCTGGTCCACAACCGGCACTGCTGGTGCTGGACAAACAGCCCACAGATGAGGAGACTGAGGATGGGGAGGGAGACTGGTTGCAGTTGTGAGGTCAGCGACGTTTTCCTCCTAAGCCTCCTAGGAGGAGCAGACTTGGACACTTAGCAGTCACAGCTGAGGACCCGAGTTCAAATAATCTCTGAACTAGAAGGGAGTTAAGGGTCATCTCATCCCATCCTGCAAGTCATGATGGAGTCTCCTTACAACACCTCCTTGAAGTGGTCACCCACTGGTTGCCTTCAAAGGTGGGGGCTCACTTCCTCTAAAGACAGTCCCTTCTAACTATGGACAACTCACATGGTTAGAGTTCACACTCACACGGAGCTAGAACCTGCCTCCCTGCAGCTCCCATCTACTGGTTGGTCTGAGTTTTAAAGACAAAGAAAGTACCTGCCCTAGCATCCCACAAGCAGGGAAGTAGCAGAGCCCAAGTTTACACCCAGTTGGGCCTGTGGGGGTCCACACCTTGCCCTCTTTCCAGCAGTCCTCCAGTGAGGCTAGTTCTCTCCCCGTAGACTCCATCCAGCACCAGTCTGTCCTCACAGGATGGGGGCCAGACCAGAGACGTGGCTGGAACTTGGCTCCTACATTTTTTCTCCTCCTACAACTCAAAGGAAAACCCTTGGCCATTAGTTCTGTGAGTGATTTTAGCCTGAGGGTGTAATCTAAACAAATTCCTCCCAACACCTTAGAGTCTTAATAACACAGCTGGTTTACCATGATCTCCCAGAAACACAATTAGGCTGAGTCAGTATTCATGTCCAGTCCTGGAAAATAATTTTCCTTCTTGGTTGAGAAGTTATTACCATCAGGCTCTGACCCCAGACCCTCTGCCTGCTGACGTGGGTTTCCATGGTTTATTTTGCGCATGGGTGGGTAGATTAGCTGGGTGGGAGTCGGGGTTGGAGGGAGAAGGGCTGAAGTGAGAGGTCTCTCAGAATCCCATACCCTTCCCCGCTCTAGCCTGGAGTATATTCCAAAACAGAGACCCCATAAGGTTATATAAAGTACTCAGACCTGGAACCCAGGGCTGATTCTGTCACTCTCTATTAGGCCTGAGTCACATCACGGAATTTTCCCCTTCCTTTAGTATTATAGATGAGGACATCACAGCTCAATGAAGCGAGGTGACTTGCCTAAGGTCACTCGTGAAAGAGCAGGCACTAGATCCTAAGTGTCCAGATTCCCCATGTGGGCCTTTTGCCTTGTCCCCAGCATGACCAGATTTACCCTGGGTCTCAAGGGGAATGACAAGTGACCACTGCCAGGCTCATCTACCAATCCCAGGATCATTATAGGGAAGAGGGTGTACCGGGTTTTAGAACAAGTAAGATGCCCCATTTAGGCCACAAACACATGCAACTCATTAGCTCCCATCAGGGAGAAAACTAATCCAGGATGGGTTAGGTTTCTTGAAGCCGGACGCATATTGGCCACGAAATGTTAGTAAGGACGTCTCCCCCTCCTCCTCCCAGGAACCAGGGTTCTGCCGGGGTTCTGCAGTGATGCCTGAAAGTCCCCACACGGCAGAGCAGGGTAATGTGGTTGGGGAGTTGTGTGCCAAGGCTAAGCTGGCTGTGACCTAGAGAAAGGGCAAGGCTGGGTGTTGACCTAGGCAGGCTTCCCGGAGGAGGAGGCCCCGGCCATGTAGGTAGAACAAAGGGCGGGGGTGGATTTTCTTGCTGGTGGGAAGAGTTGGAGTGGAGGTTCAGAAAAGGCTGGAAACATCCTTCCCCTCTATCCCCCTGCCTTGGGCCTCTCCCTCTCTGGTCCTTGTCCTTCCCTGACAGGTCTGTGGGCGCTCCGGACGGTGACTACGCCCCAGCCCTCGAGGCCGAGCATGGTCGTGGGGTGTGCAGCCAGGGGAGCTCCCTCCCCGCGCCGGGAGTGGGGTGAGCGCGCCCCGCGGGGGGCTCCCGCAGCCCTTACAAGGAGTTTGGCGGCGCTGGGGCGGCCCCGCCCGCCGGGCTCCACCGGCCCCTCCTCCCGCCCGCTCGGGCTGGGCGGCCGGGAACGCAGCCGGCTCGGCTCTCGGCGCGGCGCCGGGCGCGAACACCGACGGGGCCGAGCCCGCGAGTGCCAGGGGAGCCCGCGACTCGCTCCCGAGGGCCTCGACGGGGGGGCACGCTGCTCGGGGCCCATCGGCCGAGGACCCCTGTCCCTCTCCGCAGCGTCGCCATGTCCTCGGTGTTCGGGAAACCCCGCGCGGGCAGCGGACCGCAGAGCGCGCCCCTCGAGGTCAACCTGGCCATCCTGGGGCGCCGCGGGGTGGGCAAGTCCGGTGAGTAGGACGGGGAGGGGGGCGAGGGGAAGGGGTTAGACGGCGATGGAGAGACAGGGAGCGGGTGGAAGGAACTGGGTGCTGTGGACTTGCGGGCAGCTCCACTGGCTTTGGGGGTTTCCTGCACACAGGTGGGTTGGGTGAGACACCGTGATTTTCCTCTTTGCCTCAGTTTCTCTGTTGCTTGGCACTCTCTCTACTTTGTTGTCAGTCCCTCCATCTCTCATCTGTCTTCTGTTCCTTGCCTGTCTTTCCTCTGTGTGTCTCCCCTCCGTGTCTGTGACCCCAGCTGTCTCTCCCATCTGTCTCTCCCCTCTGTCTGCCTCTGTCTCTCTCAGTCCTCTGCTGATCTCTCCCTTGCTGTCCACTGCCCTCCATCTCTTCTCCCTGGGGCCAGCTGTCAGCCCTGGTGACTGGCACCAGGGACCTGTTAGGCACTGATCCCTGGCCCAGGGTCCCTATAAGCTTAGTCGCAGCCTTGCTACTCCTTGATTCAGGCTGGAAGTGAAGGGAGGTAGGAGAAGTCACCGCTATTGGGATTTCCCAGGGAGGGGCCGCTCCCCACTTCCCACCCCAATTCCCTGTGATTTTGGAACAAAGTGTGCATTCTTATCAAATGGATTTGTTTCAAGCCAGACCACTCTCTTGACTTTCTGGAAACACATTAGACTATGGTCCCAGGTGCCTGGGACTTGTCCTTGATGAACCAAGATCTTGGGCTTCCGTTGAGATCATTTCTATCAACACTGAACTCTGCCTACACCACTCCCGGCAGCTCTCAGCCAGCTGGAGCCCAGGGGGTTAGGGTGAGGGTGTCACATAGGCAGAGACCCAGATAAAGAGTCACCCCTCCCCCTCCCACAGGCAGCTGCACATGGAAGGACAGAGGGGGCTCCTCTGCTGACTGTTTTCTGGCTGCAGCCATTAGTGAATGGCCAACATGGACTCAGTCAGCTATGGGTTTCCTTCCCGACAGTGTTCCTTGAGACTCACTCGGGGCCTACTCTCCACTTTTGAAGCCAGCCCCCTGGCTCAGGGAAGGGACTCTGAATCATGCTCTCCTACAGAAAACATTTGCCCTTTTCCCTTTGAAAATCTAATTGTTATCCATAGCTCCGTCACTGGTACAGTTTAGCCAGTACTACATGAATGAAGGAATTTAAATTTTAAAATATGTATTCCCTGGGTATTAGTTTGCAAGCTGACATTGTTAAGAATCCTGGGAAAGAATTTTAAGGATTTTCTTAAAAATATAGCATTACTTTTTTTTTTTTTTTTTTTGGTGAGGAGATCAGCCCTGTGCTAACATCTGCCAATCCTCCTCTTTTTTTTTTTGCTGAGGAAGACTGGCCCTGGGCTAATATCCGTGCCCATCTTCCTCCACTTTGTATGGGATGCCGCCACAGTACGGCTTGCCAAGCAGTGTGTCAGTGCGCGCCTGGGATCCGAACCGGCGAACCCTGGGCCGCCGCAGTAGAGCACACGCACTTAACCGCCTGCACCACCGGGCCGGCCCGGCATTACATTTTAAGAGTCCAGTATAATAGTTGGCTGGCCCTTGGGTTTGTGTGGCTAAATTCTGAACAAAATCAGAGTTCTGTTAATGCATTCTACCTGGGGAGTACTTGGTTTTAGAGTTTTAATTCTGTGAGACACATGATGAGTGTGGAGGCCCTAGACAGAGTCAAGACTTGAGCTGTGGAGGACTGAGGACTAGGGTGTGTTTACTTGGGCCTTGGGGGTTCATACCCCTCTCAGGGGTCACCCACTGACCAACTCAGCTCTTACTATCTCTTTGGCTTATAGCCAAAATTGGAATAAATATCCCGTGTTTCAGAATCTTCATGATTTGTCCAGGGTGGAGGAGGTATCCCTTCAGTTTGAGACTCACCAGGCTGACCGTAAGGTAACTGGTCCTGACCCGTAGTCTGGGTCTTCACAAACACCCCTTAGGCTTGCCTCTCCTTGCTTTTCTTGCCATTTAAAAAAAAAAAAAATCCCAGGATTCAACGGGAGGGAAACGGTTCCCCATATTTCTGGTTTCTTCTGAGCCTCTCAAACCAACTCCTCAGCTGCCCAGCCTCATTCCCCGGGACAGCCGAGCTTGGTGTCAGCCAGGGGTCACAGAGGCTAGATAAGGCCTCCCTAAAATGAAAGGGGCAGCTTCCAGGGGCCAGCAGCCAGACACAGCAGGGGAGGCTGAGCCAACTTCTTTCTGCTTCTTTCAGCCCTGACTGTGAAGTTTCTGACCAGGAGGTTTATCAGCGAATATGACCCCAACTTGGGTAAGGAACCACTCCTCCCCATTCCTCCTGCTGAGCCCTACTTAGATTCCCACACACACACACCTACCCCATGGTGGGCCCAGGCCAGACCAGGACTATACATCTGGGGCAGAGGAGGGGAGCCACCAGGATGACTCAGCCCATGGGGCAAAATGTTTTAAGTGCCGGAAATACATCCTTCCACTGCCCACCCCAGACAACTTGGGGGTTGGCCTAATTAAGAAAACTGAGAGAAGCTGATTTTCCTTCTCTAAAATATGAGGTATGATGAGACTTTTTAAAAAAAATCAAACATAGCAGAACATCCACATCCATTAAGTGTTGTCCTTCAAGATGGTCACTCAATGTACTTTTCCAGAGAAGCCGGCGAAGACATTTGAGAAATTCTCTAGTGGTACTGGCTTCTGAACCAGGTTTTGAACCACACAAGAAAACTAGTCTTGTTTTATAGCCATATCCTGGTATATTGGAAAAAGGGATGCTCTGTTGTCAGTCAGAGCTGAGTTTGAATCCTGGCTCTGCCACTTATTGGCTGTGCAACTTTGAGGCAGTCACCTAACCTCTCTGAACTTCTGTTTCCTCATCTATAAAATGGGCAGACCTATCTCAGAGAATGACTGTGAGGATTAAAGAAATAGCACACGTAGGGGCTGGCCCCGTGGCTTAGCGGTTAAGTGCGCGCGCTCCGCTACTGGCCGCCCGGGTTCAGATCCCGGGCGCGTACCGACGCACTGCTTCTCCGGCCATGCTGAGGCCGCGTGCCACATACAGCAACTAGAAGGATGTGCAACGATGACATACAACTATCCCTGGGCTTTGGGGGAGAAAAAAAAGGAGGAGGATTGGCAATAGGTGTTAGCTCAGAGCCGGTCTTCCTCAGCAAAAAAAAAAAAAGAGGAGGATTAGCATGGATGTTAGCTCAGGGTTGATCTTCCTCACACACAAAAAAAGAAATAGCACATGTAAAAGATCTAGCCTTGTACTTGATCCACAGTAGACATTCAATGCGTGTTTGCTTCTTCCTTCCTTCTTCTTCCTCCTCAAATGGCTTCCCACGTATGGTGGCTGAGATTCCCACAGATTTATCAGATCAGTATTTCTAAAAATTATTTCTAGCAGCAGGACTTTTTCCTCAAGTAACCTCTTACCTGGAACCCCAATGTCTAAAACAAACAAAAGCAGAGTTTTATTGATATAAATGAAACTTAAAGCTCACATAACATTTGTTTATTGTAAACTGTCCACTGAGGAAAATAGAGTGTCTGGATGCTCTTAGCCTTTTGAAAATGGAGGCTGCAGTCTTTTTTTTTTTTTTTTTTTAAAGATTTTATTTATTCAGCTTTTTCGCCCCAAAGCCCCAGTAGATAGTTGTATGTCATAGGTTCACATCCTTCTAGTTGCTGTACGCGGGACTCGGCCTCGCGTTGGACGGAGAAGTGGTGCCTCCGGGCGCTCCCAGGATCCGAACCCAGGCCGCCAGCATCAGAGCGTGCGCACTTAACCGCTAAGCCACAGAGCCGGCCCAAGGAGGCTGCAGTCTTGTATTATTTTCCCCATTCATAAGAATTGAGTAAAGCATTGTGAGACCCCTGAGGGCTCTCCCAGGAAACCCAGGGCTCTGGGGCACAGATTGGAAAACTCTATAATACAGCATTTCCTGCAGCAGGCCTCTGATGGAATGCCACTGTGACACCTGGAGGGAAGAGCTCCTTAGCCCCTTGGTACTCATGGCCCCTCAGTTCAGACTGGAATGTCGAATCCCAGTGTCAGAGCAGGAAGTACCTTGGGGCTATTTTCTCCAGTGGTATTTAGAATTTTTCCCTTGAGTAGCAGAATCCCTTTTTCCGAGGAGATCTTAAACAGAACCCCAGGATGTCCAACAGAGAGAGCAGAGGGGGTCTGCTGGTTAAGTCAAGGGTGCAGGGCAGGCAACTCGCTGACAGCCCCTAAGGGGTTTGTTTCTCAGAGCTTGATTTGAGCGCCTGTGCTTTGACACAACCCCTTGGTGCTGCAGTAGAGGAAATAGGCCTAAGGAGCTGAGGCTTCTGGGCCAAGGTCACACAGCAGGTCTGAGGGGAGCCCATTTTATTAGCAGAGGTCAGTACCCACGGGAGTGGGACACAGGATGCAATTGTGTGCTGGCTGGGGGAGGTGTTGAGAGGGGAGTGAAGTCAGATGGCATGCGGGAATTGGAGACAGAGGAGGTGGGAGGAGGCGAGAAGGAAATGCACACAAGCTGGGGTGTCTGGGAAGAGAAAACGGGGATTCTCAAGGATGGTGCTTGAAAAGACAGATTCTGCCTAGCTCAAATATTGCATAGGGCATATGTTACCAAAAATTATTTGCTGTTTTTCTGAAATTCAAATTTAATTGGGCATCCTGTATTTTATCTGGCAACCCGCCTCCGGTCTTCCTTCCTCCCTGCCCCAGTCCATACCCTTCACGCAGGGTCCCACCAGAGGAGCATATTACAGTGGTGGCTCGAGCTTCCTGATTGAGTAACTTTGGAGTTCTGACCTGCTAGTGGTATGCGTGGTCAGACTGTCGGGGGTGGGGGGAGTGCAGCAGCCCTGGAGTAGTTAGTCACCTCGGCCTTTGGTCTGTCACCCCACCCTGAGAGCCTGTGAGTTGGAGAGATGACCAGACACTCTCCCCTCAGCCATTCTGGGAGGGCAGTGCCACTTCTTGGGAGTTCTGTCCCACTGTCTAAACATTCCAGCCACTATCCCATAGCTGGTTCCAGCAACAAACAGCCGGGACTCTGGAACCAGAGAGAGGTTTGTGCATCCAAGGGGAGAGTTAGCCATCAGGAGATATAAAACAACTCTTTCCCCTTTTCAAAGGGAGCCTCTTGACAGTGGGAACCTGTGTTATTTGTTCCCATTTCCAGCGTGGAGCACAATACTAGGCACAACACGGATGCTCTTCAACATGAGATTGAATTTTGGTTTTAGGATTACCCTTTGAAGAACAGCTCCTATTATTATCCCCATACAGGTAAAGCAACTGAGGCAGAGAGGGCTCAGTGATTTGCCTAAATCTTGGAGAACCTTAAGTACAAAGGAAGACGAGTCACCATTCCGGTTGCTCTCCACTGAGGGCAGCCTTATGCTAGAGATGGCCTAGAGTGGAGGTCTGTGTGGCACTGGGCTCTCTGAGCCTCGATTTCCCCATCTGGAAGATGTGACTAATAGACTGTGCTCTGTCTGCGTAGGAGTTGTGCCTTGTTATGGGTTGTGACTTGGAGCTGGAGGAGCCAAGAGATTCTGTGCCTGTGAAAGGGCTTTGCCTGTGCTGAGCGCTCCAGGAGGGGGCGGGGGTCTCCAGGAGAACATCCTACTCTCACAGAAGGGCTGGGGACATCTCATCTGGCTGGCCCAGGGCACGGTGACGGCTTCTTACCTCTCTTGCCTGCATCCTGCTCCTGCAAGGACGCAGGGACCATTTCTGAGGCATCCTCCTACACACACTCTGACCAGGGCTCCTTTGGTGCCTTTAAAAAAAATTATTATTACTGTTAATGAGAGAAAAATACTTTGAGAAAAGAATCTTCTCTCAGCATTAAAGTCCACAGAACATTATTTAGAACTAGGAGTTATGTGGCCCATGTATTTAAAGACACCAGAATGCCCTGAGGGCAGGGACTTGGTGATGGGAAGACAGGACATTACTGTGACTTGGAAAGGAGCCCCCACCCACCCCCAGAGTCACTTCACTTGCAGAGGGGGAGGGAGCTGGATAAGATGATCTCTGAGGCTTCTCCAGCCCGCCCATGCGTGTTCCACATCCTCAACTGGGGTGGGAGCGTCTGCTCTTCCGTGCACTCTGCCCACGTAAAGCTGAAGGATCAGCTGGTCCACTGAGCAGCGGGAGCGAGGGGGTCCCAATGGGAAGGCAGCCCAGCTTAGAAGACCTGAGTTCGAATTCCTTCTACTGACAGGGTGCTGCGTGGCCATGGGCAAGTTCCCTCCGCCTCTGGGGCTCACCTCCCCGTCATCTGTCTACAGTGGAGCTAACGGCAACCTCGAAAGGCTGTTGTGCCGTAAGGGACTGCAGGAGACGGAGGTCGGCCTCACATTTTTCCTTGGGCCCAGCAGGACACGGTGCCTGTTTGGGGACAGGGGGCTGTGGAGCACCTAAAAGGGATGCATCAGACATTGGCAGGAAAATAAAGAGAAATCCGAATGAGATCTAGGCATCTAGGGCAGCTCTTCTTGGACCAAATATAGTTAAACATTTGGGGCATTTTTTCCATTCGATTTTTTTTTTTGTCTTTGAATAAGAGTGGCTATTTATCCAAGTCCCCAAAGCAGGCTGGGGACGGGAGCTGTCTGGGATCCCTGCTGGCTGCTAGTGACCTGGCGTGTGTCCAGGCCTGGCTTGGCTGCCAGTGGCCCTCAGTGAGAAGTGTTTGACTATGAATTCAGCAAGGGCTGGGGGTATCTTCTCACAGTAGCTGCTGTCAGGAAGGCAGAGAGGGCCCCAGTTCTGCCCAGAGGGGTCTTCTTTGGGGTCACTTGGACCAGGGAAAGGTGAGGGCCAAGTGCACACACACATGTGGGCCAGTGGCACAGGGAAGGTTGGGGGTGGGGAGAGGGATTGCCCTATGACGGTGAGGTCCTCTTTGCGTGGCTGGCCACTTGCTGCTTTCTCAGGTTTGAGTCATGAGAACTAAAAAAAAAAAAAAAAAAACAAACCCATGAAATCCAAATAAGGTCAGTAGTTGACTTCATAGTATGGTACCAATGTCAATTTCCTGGTTTTAATAGTTGTGCTATGGTTATGTAAGGTGTTAACACTGGGAGGAGCGGCGGAAGGGTACACGGGAACTCTCTGTACTGTTTTGCAACTTCTACATGAGTTTAAAATTATTTCAAAGGAAAAAGGAAAAAAAAAATCACCTAGGAATGTGAACCTGCCCTGTAAACTTTGGAGCACTGCATCCCCACTGTCCTAAGGCATTGATGGTGGGGCCGTCCAGTCCTCACAGAGCCCTGTGAGATAGTGCAGGGACAAGCATTTAGCACAGTTCCTGGCACAGAATAAAAACTTGAAAACTGTTGGCCAATGTTATCGTATTATCCCCATTTTAAAATGAGGAAACAGAGCATCAAAGAGCCGAAATGACTTGACCAAGTCACACAGCTAAAAAGTAGCTGAAGTTGGGTTTGATTCTATGTCTCCAACCTAAAACTTTTGATTACACTAGATTCCTCTGCTATTATTTTGGCAAGGATTATTTGTAAAACCTTCCTGGGACCTCTAAACAGGGTCTGACCGCCTTCCCTCCATCATGTTGCGTGCTTCTCTTTACCCGTCCCTTCTCCCGCTGGGGGCAAGAGGATTGTCCTTGGGACTTCCTGTGGGCCAGGTACAGTGGTCGGAGGGCAAGAGGGTGGAGAAGCCTGGAGTTTGGGGGGGAGGGGCTGGCAGTGCGGCTCCTGAGGCCTCTGCTGCTAACTGGGACCGTGGGCCACACACTCCATCCCTCAGGCTTGGTGGGTGGACCCAGAACACAATCCCATCCCCCACGGCGTGTTCTGTGTGTGACCTCTGATGCTCTGAGCCCTGACAGCTGGAGCAGCATCTCATTGGTCGGAGGTTCTGCCTGTGTCCTCCATGTGGGTGAGAGCCAAGGCCTTTCCAGTGGTTCCAGCTCAGCCAGCCCCAGAGCAGGGCCCCCAGGGCTGCACAGGGATCTAGCACAGAGTGAAGCTGGAACTCAGACCCAGTTCCCCATCGAGTGGCCTGCCCTGCCTCTGACCCGGCTGACTGTCTGTGTTGCAGAGGACACCTACAGCTCCGAGGAGACTGTGGACCACCAGCCTGTCCACCTGAGGGTCATGGACACTGCAGACCTGGTAACATTACCCCCGTTACCCGTGGAGAGCTGAGGGTCAGTGCAGCCTCCTGAGAAGTGCCGTCCCAGAGTGGTGGCCTCAGATGAGAATTTGTAAACCTTTTAAGCTCCAATTTGCCATGTGACCCTGAATGAGGCGCTGACCTCTCTGGGCCTGAATCTCTTCATTTGCCACATGAGAAGGGATGGGGCGGGGCCTGGGGAGACCTGATGAGTGCTGGTGTTGGCTCTGAGATCCTGCGCTCTGGGACTTGATGCTCCTGCACACGTGGAGACAAGTGCGCACACATGTTCACACAGAAGATCCCCTGGGCCCAAGTCCCCCCACAATCCACACATCTCCCCTATGTTCTCACCACCCTCTACCAAGGCCAGATGCCTGTTATTCTCGGAAGCCAAAGGGGCGACATGAACCTGACCCCACACCAGCAGTGCCCAGGGACAGCCAGGTCTCTGGAGGGGCCATGCCAGAATTTTGGCTGTGTGCCCAGAGGCCAAGGTCCCCAGTCTCTGGCTGGGTGGTGGGAGGGAGGCGCACGAGACAATGTCTCCTTTCACACAAAGCCAAATCCACGCTAAAGCGCCCCTTTGAAAAGGGCTCTGCTGGGGAACAATATACAAGGGCCTAGGGAGTGAGGAGGTAGGACAGGGCTGCTCAGGTGAAGGCCTTTACCCTGGCCTTTTATCTCTGACTGGGGCTTCCCTCCTTTACCCCAGGACACCCCCAGGAACTGTGAGCGCTACCTGAACTGGGCCCACGCCTTCCTGGTGGTGTACAGTGTCGATAGCCGCCAGAGCTTCGAGGGCAGCAGCAGCTACCTGGAGCTGCTCGCTCTGCACGCAAAGGAGACGCAGCGCGGCTACCCTGCTCTGCTGCTGGGCAACAAGCTGGACATGGCCCAGTACAGGTGAGCACAGGCAGTTTGTCCCACATCTCCGGAGCTCACTGTCCTCATTTGTGAAGGCCAGGTGTCATCTTCAGGGATTATTTGGCTGCTAAGAACAGCAATCCCCTCAAATTTAGGTAAGAGAGGGTATGTTGTGAGGGTAGGTGGGCATCGTCTTCCAGGCAGCCAAGGGCAGGAAGGGAAGGGCACCTGGGTTGCACAGGGGCTGGACCCCGAAAGTCAGAAGAGGGGCCGCTCCTTCCACCCTCATGGGGCTCTGTGGTCTCTCTCGGCCTCAGCCTTTCTTGCCTGAGTCTACCTGACTTTCCATTCCCACTCCCCACAGCTGGCTGGTCATTCAGTGCCCAATTCCAATTCTAGGGAGAGAGGCTCTAATTGGCCTCTTGGGTCAGGTGTCTGCTCCAGTCCAACCTGCTCTCCTTCACCATCACGGCCCCCAGGCTCACTCCCACATTGGCTATTCTGAGAGCAGGTTCTCTTAGAAAGGGTTGGACTTGAATCAGAGGTCACAGACTGGCCAGAGGGCAGATTACCACCGAATACTGCAGCCATATTTTGCTTGGCCGGCACAGTATTTTAAAAGACCTGCAATTGGAATGCTTTGAGGCGGGGCATGCTCTCTCCAGCTGACCACAGGCCTCACCATTCCCCATGGCTTGTCTCCACCCTCTCCACACATTCAAGTAGCCTGCCTGGCCCCTGAGGCGTTGGAGACTTTGATGCCTCCACTTGATGAGTCATCCCGCTGGCCTTCTCCAACACTGACATTTGTCCTATGTGGCCAGTCCACCTGCAAGGCATGGCACCTTCCACCAGCCTTCCACCTGTCCCCCCTGCTCATGGCTGGTCACTCCTGCTTCCCCAGGCCCCAAAGGTCCATTGACTGGTATTAGCAAGGAGGGGACCCTTGGTATAGAACAGGTCAGAGGGGCAGTGGGAGAAGAGGGGTGCAGTCTCATGAAGGGGGCCACAGTAGGGGCCTTCAAAGGTGGTCAAGCCCTCAGATCTAGACAAATCTATCTCAGGGAATGAGAGAAGTTGTGTGATCTTAAATCCACAAGGGGGTCTTTGAGGAATCATAGAGACTGCAGAACCTGGAAGAAGGGTCAGAAGACTGAATTGTGAATAAACCAGTTTTCAATATGAGGAAAAAAACTAGACCACTGTTTTGATCCCAATCCTTGCCATAGGGATTGTCTGAAAATGGTTTGGAAGCAAATAACAAAGAATATGGGGCTAAAATGAAGCAGCATCAGTTCCCTAAGAACAAGTCATGACAATTTATGCCCATTTCCTTCTTTGATCAAGTCCCGAGGTTAGATCAGGGGCCCATGGGCACAGTAAATCTAACTTTTCACTGAGCATTGGTCAGTGTCTCTCATGATTGTCTTTCAGCTAAAGGATAAAATGTTAGAGTGGTGGTTCCCAAACCACTGATAAAATTTTCACTAGGATACAACAAAATCAGGAAAAGGATAATGTTACATCCCTTCTCACCCATTCACAAACATGCACGCACACATGGGGTCCTTGTTTCTGCAAGTTCATTATTCAAGCCCCACAATGACAAAGTTTGATTCAAGTTGCTCAGAAATGCAAATAATACCAAATATTCTTTCAAAAGGGGTTCCTCAGGAGGCAAGGAGTTTACAGACAGGACACCAGCCCTGGGTGGGGAGTGGATCAGATGCTCTGCCCCAGACCCTTTTTGTCCTAGTCACTCGCTCTGTCTGATACTCCCCTGGGCAGCTAGCCCACTCTCAGCCCCTGCTCCTGTCCAGTGAACCTTGGCTCAGAAACTTTTTCCCACCAGTACCCAACTAGGGTCCCCTCTGATCTCACAGGCTGTGTCATTGTCCTCAGGAATGGCAGGTGGGACAGTCAGAAATGGGAAGTAGTCAGGAGGATTCAGCCATTGGAACCTTGGCCTCAAGACCTCAGGGATCCCCTGTCTCCTCCCTCTTCTGGACATCTGACCTACCTAAGAGCCAGTCTTTTTCCCCTCACCTTGATTTCCATGGCTTTCAGGTCAGAAGTTTCCAGAGCCTTCCCAGTTACAAATATTCAATCCCACCATCATGGGAGGTGGTACAAGACCAAGCTGAGAATAGGTGCTGCTCCCTCTCTCCTTTTCCCCCTCCTCCCCATGAAATGTCACCCTTGCTCTCTCTCTTCCCCTGGGCAGGCAGAAGAAACTCCCCAAGAGCCCTGAGAGCTCTGCCAACCACAGGCGTCCTGAGTTACCTCGGCCCTCCATGTCTCTGTAGACACTGTGGTTTCACGCCCTTCAGTCTAAGCCACTGCCTTCTAGAGCTGATCCCACAAGCCAGGGCTGAGGGTGGCTCATTTCCTGACCAAGGGACTCATGCTAGAGTAGAGGAGAAATGAGGCTGGGAATGGCTGTCTTCCTCTGGCCACAGGCAGGGTCTGGGCAGGGACTTTGGGCCAGCTTCTTCCTTACCCTAAGCCTCATTCCTAAAGTCTGGCTTTGGTGACATCAGTCACCGTTTCTTGAGCACTGACTATGTTCAAGATACTGTGCTAGGCACTCGATACAAAACGTCCTTCTTAATCCCCTTAACAACCCTGAGAAGCAGATGTCATTATCCCATTTTACTGATGAGAAAACTGAGCCTCAGACATGAAGATGACGTAGGTCATCAAGCTAGTAAGGGGGGAGCCAAGTGTAGGCCCAGGCCTGCCTGACTTGGATGCATGCTCCTGATCCCACCTCGCCCTGCTTCCCCACCAGGCAGGTCACCAAGGCTGAGGGCACAGCCTTGGCAGGCAGGTTTGGATGCCTGTTTTTCGAAGTCTCTGCCTGCCTGGACTTCGAGCACGTGCAGCACGTCTTCCATGAGGCAGTGCGGGAGGCACGGCGGGAGCTGGAGAAGAACTCCCTGGCCCGGCCCCTCTTCATCTCCGAGGAGAGGGCCCTGCCCCACCAGGCCCCGCTCACCGCCCGGCACGGGCTGGCCAGCTGCACCTTCAACACTCTGTCCACTGTCAGCCTGAAGGAGATGCCCGCCGTGGCCCAGGCCAAGCTGGTCACTGTGAAGTCGTCCCGGGCCCAGAGCAAGCGCAAGGCACCCACCCTGACCCTCTTGAAGGGCTTCAAGATCTTCTGAGGGCCCCCCTCAGGATCCCAGGCTCGGAGGCCCAGCTGGGCTGCAGGACAGGGGCTGGCTTCTCACCGCCAGCTTTCCTTCTGATGGAACAATAGCCCACGCCCTCTGGTGGACAGCTGACCCTCCTCCAGCACAAGAGTGACCCTGACACCTAGTTCACTTTGCGAGCTGGAGGGACAGGCAGGAATGCTGCCTGTATTCCCTCAGGCTATGATTTCCCTAGTAACCGTTACATTCCCTGACCCTGAAGGGAAACAGCCACTGCGACAACCCAGAGACCTAGGGTCAGGTTAAGCAGGAGGAAATTGCAGTGTCCATTGTGGTGCCAGCACCCGTTCCAGCTCCAGCTCAGCCGGATGTGGCCCCCAGTGGACAGCTCTGGGTGGAGAGCTCCAGGAGGCCCTGCACAAGTGCAGGTCTGAGAATAGCCTGCAGGGGGGACAGGCCTGAGGTCCTAGCGCCACCTGGTGGACAGGACGAGTAGGGCAGCTGCAGGTTTGGGAGGGCAGAAGTCTGGCCCTCCTGTTGTCTTCTGACCTCAGAGAAGCCCCAGGCAACACACCCCGTAGTTCATCCAAGTAAATTCTAGTTTAAATAATCCTACGAAACAGCATGTGAGAAGCAAAGAAGTCCCAGGAAGGGCTATTTCCAGGACTTTGCTTCTCAGTGAGGGTAGAAAGGAGGGGGCTCTGGGTTGTCCAGTGTAGGGGGCCTCCAGAGATTTTCCCCAGGAGGCACGGCCCCCTTCTTTTCCTACCTTAAATTAAGGACTCTGGCTACAGACGCTTAGGACCAGCCTCAAGTTTAATGATCAAAGCTGCAGAACAAAATCGTTCTCTCCAGTGACAATCACCCAGAACCCCAGGGAGCCCACAGCTGGCAGTATAGACATCCGGTGAGCACTATTCGCCTGCTCCCGGCTCATAGGTACAAACACAGTATATCAGATTGTAGTCTGGTCTGGCAGGACTCAGTGCCCATCGTAATGGGTCTGAGTGTTCGAAGTCCACTTTTGTAAGATAGAACCTAAAGCATTTTTGGTTCATAAAGCAAATTCTGCATAAATTATTTGGGATTGCCACCACAGCTTATACCACACACTGTGGCTCAAACATGGGATCAGGACACTCTCTTGGGATCCCAGGGTTATCAAAAGAAGGGTCTCAGAGGCAGGGAACTCCACAGTTTTCTAACTTTGTTTACCATAGGGTCCCTGGCCCAAAGGAAGTCTTTCATGCACCCTCAGCAGATAAGCAAGTAAAAAGGAGAGGGCTCTAGTGGGAGGAAGGGACAGGAAGGGGACTCTGAGCCCAGAATCCTGCTCCTTCCCTCTCAGCAGTTCCCAGAGCTTGGATTAAAAAGAGCAGCTCTAACCCAGCCTTCAGCCCCATTCTATAATGGAGAAGCTGAGGTCAGAGGGAGGCTGTGACCTCCTCAAGACCCCCATGAGGAGTCCTGGCCAGGCTTCCAGCCCCACAGGCTGGCTCTGGATTTCCCACTTTTGCTTCAAGCCACTTGTGTGTTGACCACCGCCATTTGAACAAACTATGCAATTCCATCGGCGCACTTCCAGAAGCATTTTAATAAAAAGGTTTTTTTTAATAACAGAATTTTAGTTTGAGTACAGTTCATTCATTTTTATCTGCTAACAACGTGGGGCACTGCTCTGGGCTCTCAGATTCCTGTGGGTCTGGAGGGGGAACTGATGGCACATCTCCCTCTCTTAACTCAGTTTCCACCTGGGCTGAATTCGGCTTTTCTGAGAGCAAAGTCTCTCTTAGGATGCTCAGGTTGTTGTCATCCTTGGTTTCGGCCTCCTCCAAGTCTAGGACTTCTGAAGTTTGTTTTTCTGGTGGCCGCATCTTTCGATTTCTGGGAGGAGAGAAAACACTGTTGAATGTGAGTTCCCTGAGCTGGGGTGCTGAGTGACTGGGTCCCCTAAATGGGCTAGCGGGTTTGAGGGGAAAATCCAGTAGGCAGTTCTGAGAACTGTTGGGGGAGAAAGCTGAGACAGTGCGATGTTCTTTTGGCAGAGAAACAGCTTATACTTGCCTGTGCATTGTTTCACCAAATCATCGCCACCGGTGAGCTTGATTATTATCGCTCCCCCTTCCAGGTGAGGAGATGGGGCTCAAAGAGGCCAAAGAAGCACATACCTGGGACGTACATTTAAGTCTCCTGACTGAGTCCTGTGTTGTTTTCATCAAACCACATTTTCTCCTCTCCCAGGCCTGTCCTACTGAGTGCAGGTCCTTGTCACCCACCCCCAATCCCCAGACAACTACTGCAGGAAATTCCTCACTAATCTTCCTGCCTCTAGGTGCTTACTTCTCCAAACCAGCCTACGCACACCAGTCATATTTCTAAAGCCCCAGTGTGCACACGTCGCTTCTCAGCTCAAGCACCGTCAGTGGCTCCCCACTGCCCACTTTCTTAACCTGGCATTCAAGATCCAGCCTTCCTTCCAATAACTCCCCCAGGTGTCCTCTCTCTGAGGTGGTTTTACACAAGGTACCCCTAGACTTCCTGGCCACAGTAGAGGGACCCAGCTGTGGTTAGAGCTGACTGCCCTGAGAATCTTGGGCCACCGGGGGAGCAGCTCAGTGTCTGCTATTCCTGTGGACGGCCACCTTGTCTCTGAGTTGACTTTGCTGAGTAGGATGCTTCCTGACAGGGTGAGGGAGGCAAGGTTACCTTCTTAGAGGCCACACCGCTCCAGGTCCTTCTATATCCTGCATCCAGAATGATCTTGCTAAAACATAAACCTTTCATGTCCCAGTGCAAAGCCCTTCTCTGAATGCCCATGAGCTAGAATCTGAACCCCGTAGGATGGCCCCCAGAGCCTGTACGCTCTGGTCCTGTCCGCCTCTTGATCTCTCTCTCTGAAACCCTCCTCATACTCCACACTACAGCCACGTGGGACCCTCCTCTTCCCACCTCGAGTTTGGTGCATGCTGTCTCTTGGTCTGGAAAGCTTCCTCAGCCCACCCTCCCTTTCTCTCTTTGCCTCATAGGCCCCAGATCGCACTTCTGTGCTCCCACAACACTCTATGTGTCCCACCGACACCACTGTCACTCTGAACTACAGTCATCTCCCCACCAAACTGTCAATTCCATAAGGCTGGGGCTGAATCCATCTTGTCCACTGCTGTGGCCCCACTGTCAGCACAGAGCGTGGCACAGAGCAGGTGCTCAACTCACATCTGTGGGATGAGTGATGAATGGGGCCATAGCAGTTCGTAACAACCAGCTCTCAATGTGAACGATGTGGGGTTCTTTCTTTCTGACTTTATAGCAGAACTGTGAGGACGAGTCATAGAAGATATAAAATATACCATAGAAGGAAGAGTATGGAGGTTAGGCCAACCCTTCCATGTATCCTCAGTGATCTCATTCTGTACAGTGGGAATAAATAACTTGTGCCTGCTCCACCTTACAGGGCTGTCTTGAGGATCAAATGAGAGAATGTGAAGGTGCTTTTATTTTTTTATTTTTTTGTGAGGAGGACCAGCCCTGAGCTAACATCCAATGCCCATCCTCCTCTTTTTTGCTGAGGAAGACTGGCCCTGGGCTAACATCCATGCCCATCTTCCTCTACTTTATATGGGACGCCACCACAGCATGGCCTGACAAGCGGTGCGTCGGTGCGCGCCAGGGATCCAAACAGGCGAACCCCAGGCCGCTGCAGCAGAGCGCAAGCACTTAACTGCTTGCGCCACCGGGCCGGCCCCTGAAGGTGCTTTTAAAACTGTAAAATGACACAGATATGAGGGAGGGAGTCTCATTATTATTGTGTTAAAGTTACTGATAGTGATGATTGATGGGTATATAGTAATTGTTGGATGAATGAATGATGAATGAATGAATGAATGAATGGGGATGAGTGAACCAAGATTGACTGAGTAATTTCTAAGTAACTGTGCCAGTTACTTGAGGAAATACAGTTGAGTCAGATGTGGTTCCTGCCTTTAAGGAGCTCTCAAAAGTTAGCCCTGGAATCATCCAGAGAATTTAACAAAATGCCACTGCCCAGGTCCCACCCCAGACCCTTTGTGTCAGAATCTCCAAGGCAAGGCACAGCATTCTGTATTTTTAATATTCCTCCTCAGGTGATTTTCTTGTGCATCCAGGGTTAAGGGGTATTGTTATAAAAATGTTAAAATTACTCTGGGAGCCTCGACTGATCTCATGTCTCTATCTGTGCCCTGCGTTTGGCCTTGGAGCAGGGAGAGGCTTTCCCCTTTAACAGCATCCCTAACTCTGCAATAGCCCCCACTGAGCACTCCCCACAATCCTAGGAGGAAGGAATTGGTTATTTCGCCATTTATAGAAGGAGACACTGGTTTGGAGGTATGGAGTGTCTGGCCCCGCTAGTGAGTGGCAGAGCTGGGATGTGACCCCAGGCTTGTGTGACTCCAGAGCCAGAGATCCCAACCTCTGAGACATACCAGCCCCTGCCCTGCTTGCTGGCCAGGGCCAGGGAGTGGTAATTGGAGAGAGTTGCTAGTTTTTCAACAGCTTTGGGTTCCCACAGGACCCTGAAGGCTGCATTTTGCTGTCCCAAAGGGTGGACAGCCAAGGCCCCTAGATGAATCTGCCCCTCCCCAGATTTCCCTTGGGAGGGCAGGGCCCCTCCCTCTAGAGGCCCCCCGCCACCAGCTCCTCACCTGTTTGCCTGGATACTCTTTCCCAAGAGGACCATGCTTATCACGACCACCACGCCCATCAGGGCAAAGATGGAACTATTCCAAGGAGTCGCTGGGGAGGAACACACAGGACAGAGTCTTGAGGAGAGGCTGAGTGCCTCTCAGACCCACTAACAGTTGGGGCTTGGGCTCAGACCCAGCTCATAGCATCAACTGTCCCCTGCTGTGGGCCAGGAGTTGTAGAGAGACTCTAACTACGGAGAAGATGAGCCCCCTACCCTGTGGGAACTCCAGTGTCAGGGAGGGGGACACAGTCTCTGCTCTGGAGAAGCCCTAATCTAATGGGGGACAGCCCTGCAGTTGGACAATAGTAGGGAAGGGGGGAGGTGGGTCAAGATAAACTTTATAATCTTCATAGTTTTGCCAGGGACTGGCCCTGTGCAGTACAAGGGAAGGAAGGAAGAGAGGAAGGGATGGAGGGAGAAGGGGAGGGCGGAAGGATGGGGTGGCAGTTAAACTGGAGTCAACAACTGCCCACAGATAATACATAAAGTGGCTAATCTGAATTGGGATAATCAAGATATGTCCACACTGTATCAAAATGAGGCAGGATCCAGCCTCAGAGCTTTTGCATTTGCTGTTCCCTCTCCCAGGAATGTTCTTCCCCCACATAATCTGCATGGCTAATTCCTTTACCTCCTGCAAGCCTTTTTTCAAATGCCACCTTCTTAGTGAGGCCTTCCTTGACCACATTACCTACCCTTGCACACTTCCTATTCCCTTTCTCTGCTTAATTTCTCTCATTACTCATCACCAACACACTCTGCATTTTAGTGGTTTGTCTTGTTTATTTTCTACCTCTTTCACTAGAATGTATGCTCCACAAGGGCAGAGGTTTTGTGTTTTATTCACTCCTGAAACTCCAGTGCTGAGAACAGTGCCTGGCATACAGGAGGAACTTAAATGTTTGTGAGTGATTGGATGGATAAGTAAAGGAATGACTACGCCCTGAGAAAAGGGGGATGTGGTTCAGCTAGACTCCTCTGGGTACTCAGACCCCTCAGTCCCTGCCTTGGGGGAAATATGCAGCCTGCAGCGCAGGAGGGGACCATGTCAGGGAACTTCAGCCAGAGTCCACTCTTTGTGTTGAGAGCACACATCCCGCCCTCCTCCAGCACCACCAATCACCCGCCACTTACCATCTTCTACCCGAAAAAACCAAAGCATTTCTTCCAGCAGCTCCTGAGGCACCACGGTGCCAGCTGGGTCTCGGGTAACCCCCTCACTGTAGTCCATGCCCCTGCTCCTGGATGGGGTGCGTTTCTGACAACGAAGTCCTTAGGCCTCTCTCTGCCCCCTCAGCTGGCCCTCCGGGCCTCCCTAGGTTCCAGCCCCTGAGCAAAGTCCTGAAGATCCCTGGAAACAAAGAAGAGAGCATGACCGGATGTGCCACCCCAGTTTGACCTCCCTTCCCTGCCCAGACCCAGCCCTCCTCTGGCCCAAAGTTACAGGACAGAAACAGCCGAAACTCCGGAGCAGGTGGGGCCTGGAGAGACACCATAGAAGCGGGAGTCGCTCAGATCTTTATTAACACTCATCACGTGTGGGGAGGAGCGCTGACCTGGGAGTGAGGAGGACGGAGCCATTGACGGGCTGCGGGAGCCTTGCAGCGGACATCTCCCGTTTGTGCCTGGCCAGCATTCCGGTCCAGCTTCTATAGCCCACAGTACTCCTTCACCCCGGTTCCTCCACGTGGTAGCCAATCACAGGCTCCTGTCTTCCACGCGACCAAGGCTGGGCCTATCACAGTCCCTCTCCTGGAGATTGGCACGCCCACGACCCAGAGCTGAGAGTAGGCAGAAGTGCCAGAGAAAAGTTCCCTCCGGGACTCGCTGCGGAGAGCTGAGAGCTTCTTTTACTCTGCCACCATCCCTAAGCCTGATTGGTCGGTGCTGCCCTCAGATCAGCAACCCCCTGATAACTTCTTTTTTGGACAAGTTATCAGAGTTGTTTCTGTCATTTGTAATAGAAGAACCTGAACATGCTTCGTGGATAAAATCCCTTTCTTAATTCGAGCCTGCTTCCTTCCCTACAAAATAAAGCAGGTAAGCTGTGTTGACTATACCTCAGTCAGTCTCAAAACAGTCACGGATGTTGGCATATTCTTGTACTACCTGTATTAGTACTACTTAATATAAAATTTTCTAGTACCCACATTAAAAAATGGTGAAATTAATTTTGACAACATATTTTGTTTAATCCAGTATATCCAAAATAGTATCATTTCAACGTATAATTAATATAACAAGATATTTTACTTTTTTCATACTAAGTCTTTGAAATTGGGTGTAAGTTTTACACTTACTGCATATCTCAATTCCAACCGGCCACATTTCAAGTGCTCAATAGCCACCGAGGCTAGTAGCTACTGTATTAGTCCAGGTCTGTGCCTCAGCCCAGGGCCAGGCTATGGCACCTGGTCCTCCCAGTTGCTCTGGGCTCCTGCCTCAGGCCAGGAGAGGTGAGCGCTGGGCTAAGAGCCTAGGAGCTGGCCCCTCTCCTGGCTCTGCCTCTGGTTAATTTGTCTAGGCAAATTTCTCCCCTCTGGAACGCTGGGTCCTCTGAAGAACAAAAGAGGAAATGATAAAGATAGAGGCAGAAATCAATGAAATAGAGGGGGGAAAAAGGAGAAGATAAACAAAACCAAAAGCCAGTTTAAAAAATATATTAATAAAATGAATCTCTGGCAAGATTGATCCAGAAAAAGAGAGAAGACACAAATAAAGTACAGAACCAAAATAAGACCAGAGATTTTAAAATATAAAAGTGTATTTTGAACTGTATGCTAATAAACTTGACAAGCTAGATGAAGTGGATAAAATTCTAGAAAAATATAAAATACCAAAATGATACAAAGAAGAAACAAGAAACTTAGAGACTAAGAAATAATAATAAAAAATTTGAAAAAGGGGCCGGCCCCGTGGCTTAGCGGTTGGATGCGCGCGCTCCGCTGCTGGCGGCCCGGGTTCGGGTCCCGGGCGCGCACCGGCTCACCGCTTCTCCGGCCATGCTGAGGCCACGTCCCACGTACAGCGACTGGAAGGATGTGCAGCTATGACATGCATCTATCTACTGGGGCTTTGGAGGGAAAAAATAAATAAATTAAAAAAATCTTTAAAAAAAAAAAAAAATTTGAAATGATGGCCCAAGCCCTCTTCTCCAAAAAACAAAGCACAGGCCTAGGTGGCTTTCATCATGTGTTCTAATAAATTTTCAGTAAGTAGTTAATTCTTATTTTAAACAAGTTGGCCCCAAAAATAAAGAGCACAAATTGCATTGCTCATTTAACATTGGTTTCAGAACTAGATGAGGACCATACAAGAAGAGAAAATGATAGACCCATACACTGATGAAAGTAGATGCAAAAATCCTAAATAAAGTATTAGTTAACCAAATTTAACAATGTATTAAGAAAATCATTATCAAGTATAATACCAGGAATGGAAGAACAGTTTGACATCAGAAACTATATAACATAATTCACCACATTAATAGGCTAAAGGGGAAAAATCATGTGATTGACATGTATGATAAAAACTCTTAGTAAATCTGGAGTAGAAAGAAATTTCTTCAACTTGGTGAAGGTAATATATAAAAATCTTACAGCAAACATTATATTTAATGGAGAGAGTTTAAATGCATTCAAGATAAATGACAAGACAACAATTTGCTGGTTGAATTTGACCATTATAGTTTAATATTGTCCTGGAGGTCCTAGCAAGTGCTATAAGGAAAGAAAAAGAAGTAAGTGAGGGCTGGCTGGTGGCGCAAGCAGTCAAGTGCGTGCGCTCCGCTGTGGCAGCCCTGTGTTCCCCAGCTCGGATCCGGGCGGTCACCGACGTACCGCCTGTCAAGCCATGCTGTGGCGGCGTCCCATATAAAGTCGAGGAAGATGGGCACGATGTTAGCCCAGAACCAGTATTCCTCAGCAAAAAAGAGGAGGATTGGCAGCTGTTAGCACAGGGCTGATCTTCCTCACAAAAAAAAAAAAAGTGAAAGATTTGATAGGAAAGAGTGAAAACATAATTTTTAGGTGACAAGATCATCTACCTAGAAAAATGAACAGTTAGAACTAATAGAAGCGTTCATTAAGGTTGCTGTGTACAATGGCAGTAGCATTTCTCACATTATTAGTGAAACTGAAAAATTAAATAAAAGTAAGATATCATTTACAATAGCATCAAGGCCATAAAGCATCTAGATTAACTTATCCAAGAATACCAAAGACCTCGATGGAGAAAATTTTAAAACTCTGGAACAAAAAAAAAATACATGATCTGAATAAATGGAGAGACATTTATGTTTTTAGAGAAGATAAACTTATAAAGATGTCAATTACCCCCAAATTAATCTGTAAATTCAATGCAATCTCAATCAAAATTCCAATTGGATTTTTTTGAGGACCTTGATACAGTTATTCTAACATTTATATAGAAAAAGTGCAAGTCCACAAATAGCTAAGTCAATCTTTAAAAAAAAAAAAGACTAAGAGAGAGACTGGCCCTACCAGTTGTTGAGGCATAGTAATAAAAAAATATGGTTTTAACACAAGACCAAATCACTATACCAAAAGATCAGAACAGAATTTCACAGAGACTTATGTACACATGGGCACTTGATATACAATAAAGGTAGCTCTACTAACCGGTAGGAAAGGGGAATTGTCTAGTAGATAGAATCAGGAAAACTGGCTCACTGTATGCAGAAAAAGAAGACTGGATGCACATCTAACAAACAGCACATACAGAAACAGACTCCAAAATTAAAGACCTAAATGTAAGAGGAAAAAATATAAAGTTAATAGAAGTGGGGTAGGACTTCTTAAACAAAACCATAATAGCTCAAATCATTCAATAACAGCAAAAAGCTGATGAATTTGATTATATCAAAAATAAGATTATCGTTCAATGGAGAATACCATCAATAAAGTAACAAATATTTCTGTTTGGGATGAGATACTTGCAGTGCTTAAAACCGCAAAGAGACTGATTTCTAGAATATGCAAAGAATTCTTGCAAATGAACAAGAAAAAGACAGGAATCCTAATAATGGGTAAAGGGTATAAACAGGCAGTTTACAAATAGGAAACTCAAAAGGCTAGCAAGCATATGAAAAATGCTCAGACTCCTTGGTAATCAGAAGCAGGAAAATTAAAACAAAAATGAGATACTACTTGACATCTATTAGATGGGCATAGTTTGAAAGCTGGATAATGCCGTGTGTTGGTGGGGTTCTGCAGCTATAGCCTTATGTACTGACAGAGGGAGTGTAGACTGGGGCAGCCATCTCAAGAGCAAATGAGTCAAACTGAGTGTAGACACCCCATGACACAGCAGTTCTGCTCCCAGGTGCGTATATACATATATCCCAAAGAAATTATCCCCAAGGATCACAAGGGGGCACGCCAGACCATTTATGAAAATTCAAAATATATACACATAAAATAACCACACACACTTTACAAAAGCACATTTTAAAAAAAGACACACAGGGGACCGGCCCGGTGACATAGTGGTTAAGTGCCCGCGCTCCACTTCGGGCCGTGGGGTTTGCAGGGTTCGAGGAGTTCGAGGGGTTCGTCGGGTTCGAGGGTTTGGATCCCGGGTGCCCACCGAGGCACCGCTTGTCAAGCCATGCTGTGGCGGCGTCCCATATAAACTAGAGGAAGATGGGCACGGATGTTAGCCCAGGGCCAGTCTTCCTCAGCAAAAAGAGGAGGATTGGCAGATGTTAGCCCAGGGCCAATCTTCCTCACAAAAAAACAAAAAAAAAGAAAGAAAGATACACATTAAACACATTAGAATAGTTAATCTCTGGGGGAAGAGGAAAAAGGGAATAAGAACAGAGATAAAAGTAACTAAAGAAATAAAATAGGAGAAGGTCTTGAACAGACCAATCGTGAAAACATGAGGTTAATACCAAAAACAAAAGCAAGGAGAAAACCAGAGAGGCCCCAAGGCGATCCCAGGTCCCTCCTACTTTGACACTGCCTTCTGAAATAGCCTTTGGATGCTCAGTCAGGAACATTTGAAAACAACTGGATGGCAAATGGCTGAGCAGGAAAACAGGGTACTAATAAAAGGACTGACATCGGCGTTTTCTCCAACTCTTAAATGCTCTGAGAAAACTGAAGAAACGTCTACAGATTTTGAGGGAAAATATTTTGACACAAACATAATACTGAAGGAAGTTTTTCATATATGAATGATCATTCATGTGTCAAGGTGGAGATGGAAGTCAGGGAGAAGGAAGGACCATTTTTAGACTTGGAAGGACTCGGATGCACGCTACCTACTTATTCATTTGAGGGGTATATAATATAGTATATATATACTGAATAATGGAAAGACAAAGTTACAGGCATGGCTAATCAATGTGATTTTGTATTCCAGCTCCAACTGTCTGTCCAGAGCACTTGCTAAGAAGAGTTGTGACTTTCTGTCCAATCTGAGATGCAGGAGTGCCTGGATTAATTAGAAACATTGGCCATAGGTCCCTGTCGCATATGCAGACCCCCACCCCAGTACCCACAGAGAAATGAGTGTGGAGGTCAAGATACCAATCACCAACTCCCTCTGGGGAAGTGTGATGGGGTCTGGACACATGGGACTTTCACTTTGAACACTTCTGTATTGTATACACTTCTTGTGAGTACACACTAGCTTCATGAAAATAATACATAATTACAATTTTTAAAATTTATGTATTTTTTGTATGTATACGTTAAATATCTACTTTGTATATTTGGATGTATTTTTTAAATGTATGTATAAATTGTATTTATACCTTTTGAGACAATAATGTCAATTTTTTAATTAGTGAAACTAATCAAGAAGTCAGTTCTATAAACTTGATTTATAGATTCAATGCAATCCCAATCAAAATCCCAACGAGTTATTTTATGGATATCAATAAACTGATTCTAAGGTTTATATGGAGAGGCAAAAGACCCAGGATAGTCAACAAAATATTGAAGAAAAAGAACAAAAAGTCAGAGGACTGACACTAGACCGAGTTCAAGAGTTACTATAAAGCTACAGTAATCAAGACAGCTGGTACTGGAACTAATCAGGTAAGTGTACACACTTGCATGTGGGCTTATGTCCACAGTAGAATATGTGTTTTAAATATGTATAATATTGTTATAATAAACATATATCAACAAATAAAAAAACAAAATGACAAGATGGATACAAGTCCAGAACCAAGTCAGCCCTCCCTGACTGTTAGATGCCACAGAAACAGAGGACACATTTCCCCCAGAGCACTTACCTAGTTTGCTTCTAGAGTGAGCATCATATTAATAATCTGTTTTAAAAAAATATTAACTAAACTTCATGATTTATTTGGATTTCATTCATTTTTCCATTAACGTCTTTTTCCTGTTCCAGGATCCCATCCAGGATACCATATTGTATTTGTCATATCTCCTTAGGCCCCTCTGGGAGATTCCTGCATTTTAAACAGGGCTTAACAATCTGCCATTGGACTGTGATTCCTGCCGAAAACCCTGGGCCACCCATCCCTGTGGGAGGTTGAAGACACTCACCCTGGATCCTGGGTTCCTGGGGCCTGCCTTGATCTGATGTTGGAAGCAGCACTGATTTCTGTGTCTTCCTCCTCTTCCTCTCACGGGAGCACCAGATGGTCTTTGCACCTGAGCTCTCCACACAGCTGTCACTTGGGGGGCAGTGCTGCATGGCCTGTGGCAGCTGGGGCCCATCTGGTAGCTCTTCTCTTAGCACACGCCCAGGCCTGGAGCCTTCTCTGTCACTCTGGGGTGACTGACCTCTTGAATGAGTGGCTGGTAGCTCTTCTATTAGCACACACCCAGGCCTGGAGCCTTCTCTGTCACTCTGGGGTGACTGACCTCTTGAATGAGTGGCCTCAGACGGCAAACAGGCTCCACCTGACTTTCACAATCTGAAAGAACCAGGAGCCCAAGTTTTCCTTCTTATATGTTGTCCTCAAGTACAGAGAAAACATCCAGACCCTCTTGCCAGCCCAAGGGAAGGGGCTGAGGAGATCCTTTGGTCTGAGGGTTCCATCATTGCAGGGAGATAATGTGGTGTGCCCACTCCAGGCCTCTATTTCCTGGTGTTATCAATATTTAACCACAGAGTAGGCCTTTTACAGCCTGTGCTTTCTCACAGGGAAGGTCACAGCCTGATGTGAATTCCTCACAAGTAGCTATAAAACAAGACCTTTGGAGGGCTAGGGATGGGGGGAGGCAAGGCAAGGGAGACTGTGTGAGTGACCCAGAGAGGAGAAAGCAGGCCAGGTTGAACAGCATCTAGTGCGAAGAGCTTGGCAGGGAAGCAGGAGCAAGGTGCTCCCTGCACCAGGCCAGACCCATTCAATTCTGATCCTCAGTGCGCTCTGGGCTTTTCCACCCACTGGCTCCTTGCATCTCCAACAACCCTTGGAGTTGGCTCAGCAAGGAGTGGGGGTCCCATTTCACAAATGAGAAAACTGAGGTTGAGTGAGGTCAAGAGATAGTTGCAAGTTCCTCTGAGTTAAGCACTGGTCTACAGTGTGGACAACAGCATGGTGCAGAGGAAAGGAGATCCAACAGGGAACCTAGGGACCTGCACAGAACTCCAGCTCCTCATCATTTAGTAACTCAGTCATTCATTCAATAAATATGACGTGAGCACCTATGTGGATACACGATAGGTGTAGGACCCTGCTCTCCTGGAGTTCACCTCTAGAGGGATAGACAGGCAATAAAAAAGTAAGCAAAAACATAAATAAAATAATGTCTGCTAGTGACAATTTCTGTGAGTAATTTAAACAACAAAATAATATAGAAAGAGATGGGGTGGGAGAGCTATTATTAACTATATTAAAAACAGAATGACGAGGAGCTAACCACGGAAAGAACAGGGACAGCAAGTGCAAAGGCACTGAAGAAATAATGAGATTAATGAGTTTGAGAAACAAAAAGGACAATGTAGCTGACGCACAGTTATGAGGGGAAGTGGCATGGTATAAAGTTGGAGGGGAAACAGAAGCAGATTGTGCAGGGCCTGGTAAAACAGGATAAGGAGTTTGGATATAATGAGAAGCTGCTGGAGGGTTTTAGGCAGGAAGTGACATGACCTGATTGACATTTATCTAAGGTCACTTGGCTTGCTGGGTGGAGAATGAAATGCAAGGGAACAAGAGAGAAGCTCGGAGACCTACTGGGAGACTGTTGTATTCATCCAAATCAGAGATAGTAGTGGTTTCGACCAGGATAGTAGCCTTGGAGATGATGAGAAGTAGTCAGATTCGGGGTGCATTTTAGAGAGAAAAGCAGCTGATAGTTTTCGAGAGAGGAACTCAACACTAATTCTCTTAAGCACAAAAGGACTTCAAAAGGAATTTATTGTCTCAAGTAACTGGGAAGAGCAGGGTGGAGTTGACCTTAGGGATAGTTGGAACCAGGAGCCTGAAGATCCTTAGCTCTTTCTCTCTCTAGCTCTCTCCCTGCTTTTCTCTGGCTATCAGGCTTATTCCCACAGGCCGGCCATCTCCAGGAAGCTGGACCAGGCTGCAGGAAATCCAGGCTCACACTCTTACAGCTGGAGAGAAAGAGAGTCCCTTTTCTCAGATCCAGTGTGGCAATTCCTTGGAAAGGACTCTAATTTTCCTGGCTTGGGTCATATACCCCCATTTTGGGTGAGTTGTTATGGCCAGGGGCTGAGGTACCATGGATGGCCAGCTCAAATTTTATGCCCATTGGGTAACCAGGAGAGAAAGGCTGTGAGCCAGGTAGCCACTCCAATGTGGGTCCCTAAAGTGACTCCTTGACCACAATCCTCCTTGTCTGCCTTCCAGGAGTGTCATAGGGCGCTTAAAGGGGATCATGTCCCCTTTAAGAGGAGGCTGCCCCACCCCAGGTGATTTGAGATGTAGCGTACTACTTCTGAATCACTTTTTTTTTTTTTCAATTTATGTAAACTTTTTTATTGAAGTATAACACACATACAGAAAAGTACACAAATATTAAGCTATGGCTTAGTGAATTTTCACATGTGAACACAGTTTTGTGTGGGAACACACATCATCCAGATCAAGAAATAGAACATTGCCAGAACCCAGAAGTCTTCTTGTGTCCAATTCTGGTCAGTATCTCCCACAAAGGCAAGTACTAACCTGACTTTTAATGCCATAGATTAGTTGTGCCTATTTTTATACTTTATATAAACGGAATCAATCAACATGTAATATTTTGTGTCTGGCTTCTCTTGCTTAACATTATATTTGTGGTACTCATCCAAGTTGTTGTGTGTAATTGTGGTTCGTTCATTCTTGTTTTCGTAGTATTCCATCGTGTGACTATGCCACCATATTTTAATCTATGGATCATGTTTTTATAAGGAAAATTTCAACCCATCCACTTCTTTCCTCTGTCTGGAACACAGATACAATGGTGAAAAGGACATCTAAGGACAGAGGTCATTAAATTACAACCCATGGACTAAATCTTACCTGCAGCCTATTTTTGTAAATAAAGTTTTATTGGAACACAGCCATGCCCATTTGCTTACCTAATATCTATATCTGCTTTTGCACTACATTAGCAGAAGTGAGCAGTTGTGACAATGATTGTATGGCCCGCAAAGCCTAAAACATTTACTATTTGGCCCTTTACAGAAAAAGTTTGTGGACCCAGGCAACAAGATAGAAGGAATCTGGTTCCTTCAGAATGACCTCTGAACAGAGCAGCCTACCTGCCCTGCACCAGCTGTCCACCTCTGGAGTGTTACGTGTGACAGAAGTAAGCTTTGGCATTATTTGAGACACTGTGTTTGGGATCTCTTTGTTACAGAAACTTAGCCTGCGTTGTAACTAATACATACATTATTTGTGCTCAGTAACTGCTGAATAAGTGAATACCATGGTATCAGAAGAACTAAGTTCTAGTCCTGTCCACCCTTGCTACGATCACCCCTGTGATCCTGAGCTAGTCACTCAGACCTCAGTTTCTTATCAAACTATATAAGCTTCAAAGAGGAGTTAAAAGGAAACGTAATTGACAAATTATTATCAGGAGGGCCCAATTGCATAATGACAAAACCAAAGCCCTTTAAACTCAGGAGATTTTTAGCTGGGGCCAACCAGTTAGCTTTTCTGCTAAAAAAGGTAAAAACCCAGTATGCAAGAGAACTCTTTCCTAAGAATGATGGGTGGTGAAGGTAGGGAAACACCCACTGAGCTGTCCAGGGTCCTGACTCCTCACCTCGGGGCATTTTAATCTCAGCCCAGGGTTAAGGTGCCAGGTAGGGTCCTGCCCAGAACTCCAGGGCCTAAGGGTAAGCATCTCCCTGCTTCTCAACCTCCTGCCTCCCCACACCGAAGAGACGATGCCTGCTAGGCTGACAGCCAGCAAAGGCTTCACAGCAGTGGAGACCACTCTGTAGTATTTCCAGGTCAGGCTATTCTACTTCTTGAGGTGAGCCAGCCATTGTCAGCTGACACCGGGAGGGGTGCACTAGCCCTTCACTAGCTGTTTGTTCTTACTCTGATTTTTACAAGTATCACTTACCCTCAGAAGCCAATTTAATAATTCAGTTTGAACAATAATTCCGCCAAATCGCTGAGAGTGGCACATTTCTCAGTAGAGAAAACTCCATGGAAAATAAAATGAAATCTAAAAGTATGATGTAAGGAAATGATAACACACAAGAGCAGAGATACATGTACGAAGATGTTCACTGAAACATTGTTTAAGATGGTAAACAAAACAAAACAAAAAAATGAAATATTCAAGAACAGAAGAGGGGTTAAATTATGGTACCAATGGAACAAAATATTTCTTCTAGGGGCCAATTTTTTTTTTTTTTTGGTGAGGAAGATTATCCCTGAGCTAACATCTGTTGCCAATCCTCCTCTTTCTGCTGAGGAAGATTGGCCCTGGGCTAACATCTGTGCCCATCCTCCTCTACTTTATAGTGGGCCGCCTGCCACAGCATGGCTTGATAGGTGGTGCGTAGCTCCATGCACGGGATCTGAACCTGTGAACCCCGGGCCACTGAAGCAGAGCATGCGAACTTAACCACTACGCCACTGGGCCGGTAGGGGCCAATTTTTATATTAAACTCAGAGGAGGGAAACATAGTAGAATTAGTGAAGGCATATTTGGAAAAGGTAGGGCAATTAAGTCCAAAATTATTGGTGTTAAGCACTGACTTGGTGCCTCCATCTGTAATAGGGTGGTTGAGAAGAGGGATGGGTATCCAAAGGGAAGTCATCTTTATGCTGAAGTAAAATGATCTCAGTGATCAATGATTTTTCAACATGACACATGTTTTGCTAGAAGCATTTCAGGAACATTTGCAAAGTATCGGAAGTTTGGACAGAAACTGCTGTGAAGCAATGGAAGAAAGTATGTACTTTCTCCAAGAAAAAAACATTCTGCAGCCGCCACTTTCGTCTTAGCTATAGCATTTGAGACTTTCTATGTCATTGACCCTGATTTATAATCCTTAATTTTCTGTCTTTGACCCCTTGCTCCTGGTTACAGTATAACCAAATATCTTTTTCAGTCCCTGACTAGGTCAAAGTCCAAGAGTAGAATAGAATCAAAGTCTATTAGCCTCTTATTTTAATTAAATGAGGTACTTGAAGTCTAATCATTCCCATACACAGCACTTTTTGAACAGCTTCATCTTGAAGATGAACTGCTCAATAATGTGTTTGAGGAATGTCAAACAATTCGGTAAGTAAGCATTGTATGCTAATTTGTCTGAATTTTGTTGCTCCCACCTTTCACAAGCACGTAAGCATTCTTTGAGGGGACTTAGGTGGCATA